AGAGGGGCATAGCCTCTGCCCTTAGCCTCTAGGCCCTACTAAGGCTTCCTAAGGCCATTTTCTTATTGTTAGTTTGGCGGCTGAGAATTTTTCGCTCGCGCCGGCCGCCTTCGGCGGCCGACGCTCGACGGCGCGGCCTTCGGCGGCCGACGCTCGACGGCGCGGCCTTCGGCCGCGCGTGAGGGGACGGCAAGCATTCACACACGGAGTTATAAATAGCAAGAAGCATTACACTCATGGCATCAACTACCGCAGCCTAGCCGCGTGATACACTAAAATGGAGCAACAGGAGCCCGCGCCTACATGCGGTGAGCTCCAAGGGCATGAAGGATACCCGTCAGGGAGCGCCAAAGCTCCCGGACCACAAGCGTGCTTGCGCCGATCGCCGCGGCTCCAGATCCAGCGCGCAAATGCCGCTTCAAGCTCCGGACAGCCTCGTCCAGCTGTCCCGCAGCAGCAGCGCCACCCTCCGCGGGCGCAGCCAGCACGGGCGCCAGCAGCACGGCGAGCTGGTCCGCCGCATCCAAGCAGGTCTCGCGCGGACGGTCGCGGAACGTCTCAGGAGGAACCACGGGGAGGGACGTGTGAGCAAGAACCTGGATTAGCAGCAGTGCGTGAAGACTCTCCGCCAGGCGGTGAAGCTGCCCGAGAGTCGCCTGAGGAACACGAGTCTGCGGAGGCTGGAGTGCCTCCGCCAGGAACTGGAGCGGCTCATCAGCTGCATACTGAGCCGCCGCCGCGCCACCACTCGCGGCCACAATCTCCACCCCCGCAACAGGCGGAACCGGCGGCAGATGCAGGCGGGAGCCGGGAGCCGGCGCCGCTACAGAAGGAGAAGGAGCGGACGGGGCAGGAACAAGAGGGGGAGGTGCAGCAGCCGGCGGAGGGACAACAGGAGGCACAATCGGACGAGGAGCCACATGCGCCAACGCAGCCCGCAGCGAACTGCTCTGGCTCTGCGCCGCCCTCTCCTCGCGCACGGCGCGCGACACCTCCCGCGTCACCTCCCGCTGAAGATCCGCCATCGTCACAGGCGGACGATACCTCCCGCCGCCGCCACGCCCGTGGGGACCCCACCAGCCCCCATTGCCACCCGGGTGAGCGGGCCACTGGGCCTGCTGCTGGTAGCGCCGGGGGGAGTTACGCCGGCGCCGCGACGTCTCGCGCTCCTGTTGGGGCGCTGGAGAATGGGGACGGGAGAGCCGGCGGTCAGGCAATGAGGGACGAGCCGCCGTCGGCTGAGCGGGAGCCGTCGTGTTCGCGCCAGGAGGCGCAACAATCGGAGCTGGCACGACCGTGGTGGCGGATGCCGCCTTCAGGGAAGAAGCAGACGCCGGCGCAGGCACGTCGGGGACAGAAGCGTCCGGTGCAACAGGAGCGCCAAGGACCGGCACCGGGGGATCAGCAACCCCACCCCCGAGGCCGGCCGCCGAGGGTCCAGCAGGAAGAACGGGGGGGACAGGAGCAGCAGCAGGAGCAGGCGGGGCAGCACCAGGGGCAGCCGGGCCAAGGGGAGCCGCGGGCACGAGGGGAGGAGCAGCGGGTACGGGGGGAAGAATCTTTTCAGCGTCTGTTGACGCGGTTTTCAGAGTCGGCGGTACAGGAGGTTTCGGCGCCGTGGTCGCCTTTTCGGGTTCCGACTGCGGCCTGACGACGACTGCCGACCAGGCGGCAGCGCGCTCTGGCGACGGCGCAGGCGCTCCAGCAATCACCATCCCAGAGGCGAGGAAGTCGCGGGACGGATGACGTAGCAGGAAGCGGAGTTGGCGGAGGCCCGGAGAACGGATACCAAGCGGAGGCACGGGTGGCTTTAAATAACTTGGAAGTAGCTAATGAAGATGACGAGCGACAAGACCCCTCTTATAGGGAAGAAGCCTTGCCAGAGAGCGAGGATGAAGATGGGGAGGAAGAAGGTGGGGTGAGGGAGAGCTCTGGGAGAGCAGAAGCAGAGGCCGGGGTAGCTCGAGTGCAAATACCCCAGGAGGCACGCACGCCGCACGATGCCGATCGGACGGTGGAGTTTCCAACATCTGCCTCACCTGCGGGAGCGAGCCGCGCACGGCGAAATCGGACCGCGAGTAGGGGTGTTGCAACACGCCCAGCCGCTGCGACCCCCCCGCTATTTTTCGCCAGAGGAGCTGGCGAAGCGAACAGACTTGTTCGCTGCGATCGGGAGTTGGGACATCGCGGCTCTGTGCGACAGTCGTCAGCCTTCGCTGTCGCGACGCTTACCGCCAAATCTGTGTCAGTTGTTTTTGTTGGTATTACTGACACCGTTACTGCACCTCTCTCGAAACCCCGAGTCGGAGACAGGTTGGCGCCTGCTTCTGTTTCTCCCGCGCCTAACTCTTCGCCAGACCTCGCCGCAACGTCCGGACTGGCCGAAAATCAAGGCCCGGCTCCGTGCGTTCCAACGTGGCGAATGGGAGCAACTGTACCTGGACACGGTGGCTGCAGTCAACACGCCACCTCCGCCTCGGCACAGGCCCGACGCGACGGGGGTGATCAACCGAGCCGAGGGCCTGGCGAAACGTGGCAGTCTGCGACGAGCCGTCCTTGCCTTGGAGACAACGCCCGTCTTCACACCTAGAAATCCTGGAGGAACTGCGCCAGAAGCACCCCCCTGCAGCTGACGAGGAGGTGATCTGGCCGACGCCGGAGGGGTCAACGCTTTCAATCGCTCACGCTGACTTCGCAAAACTGTTGGGCAGATGCGAGAATGGAGTTGGGGCGGGGCCGTCAGGGATGACATTTGAACACTTGCGTGACTCGGCAATCACAAATGCACTGGTCAGCACCCATTTGCACGCCCTGGTTAATACCATTTTGGGCGGAAATTTGCCCGACTCGGTGGCAAATTTGTTGACCGCATCACGCCTCATCGCATTGGCCAAACCGGGGGCGGTGCTCGGCCAATCGCCATCGGCGAATGCTTGACGAGGCTGGCAGCCAAAGCAGCCCTGTCAGCAATAGGGGAGGCTGCCCGCGACTTCTTCCTCCCACTACAGTATGGCGTGGCAGTGCCAGGTGGCGCCGAGACTGTAATCCACGCGGCCAGGGCTTTCCTGGATGTCCGTCCCACCAGCCTCGTTCTGCAAGCCGACATCAAGAACGCATTCAACAGCATTTCGCGAAAAGCCATTGCCACCGCGTTACAATCTCACGCCCTCTCGCCACTGCTGCCGCTCGTCAAGTTCACCTACGGTAACCCGTCGCAGCTGCTCCTGGATGCAAACTTCAACTCCGAACCACTGCGAAGCGAACGCGGTGTCCGCCAAGGGGACCCACTTGGCCCGCTACTGTTCGCGGCAGGGATCCACGCAACACTCCGCGACACTGCAGACAAACACCCTGGCGTGCTATGTTTGGCGTATGCGGACGACGTGACATTTATCGGGGAAGCAGAGGATACTGTAGCGGCTTTTTCCCACTTCACCAGCAAACTGTCACCCCTGGGGCTCGAACACAACCCCCAGAAGTGTGCGGCGTGGAGCTCGCGTACAGTGACAGCTGCCCACCTACCACCAGGAGTGCCGTTCTCAAAGGACGGCGTGCAGCTGCTGGGCAGTTTCATGGGCCCTGACAACGGGGCGGCAACTTTCCTAGCAGGGCAGCTGGCCGAAATGGCGAAGCCACTGACGCTCATCGAACGAACGGATCCCCAGATAGCAGCACTGCTAATCACGCGCTGTATCTCAAGGCGCGTCGCGTACTTGACACGGACGACGCCGCTAAACCTCCTTCCCCGCGACAAATGGAGCCAGTGGGGCATGGACCTCCTCACCACACTTCTTACTGCCTGCGACCTCCGCTTGCCTACCTGCCAAGCCGAGCAGACACGGGTTTGGGAGCAGGCGTCGCTACCTCCGTCTTTGGGGGGTCTGGGCATTACAAACCCCCTTATCGAGGGGATCTACGGCTTAGCCGCGAGCTTCACTCAGGCGGCGCTGTATCTCAACAGCCTCTCGCTGGGAGACGAGAGTGCGCTTGCACAAGCGCGGGATCACATGCTCCTGCCGCGGGACAGCAGCACGCCACTACATGTTTGGTTGGCGGGGTGTGAGGGGGCGCTACCGACAGACGCACGGGAGATTCTAGAGAAGGAGCGGCTAGAACGATCCGACCTACGGCTTCAACACGTTCTCGGACTGAAGGTGCACGGCAGTAGATACGCCGTGCAGGTGCAAGCGACGAGACGCATGCGGCTGAATCCGCTCGCGGGGCACACACAGCGGATGTATTCCTTGACTGGCTACGGCACTGGCGACTGGATCACGGCGGTCCCAGTGGCAGCGACGCGGCGGATAGGGCCAGTGCACTTTGCGAACGCTGTGCGCTTCCGCCTGGCCCTGCCATTCTCAACCCCCAAGAACTGTGACTGCCCAGAGCACACGGCCATCACTGATCCCCGCCTTCCGAACCACCTGCTTCGGTGCGCCACAGGCAAGCACCGCACGAACACCCACAACGAGTTGCGGGATGCCTGCGTCAGCATGGCGCAAGATGCGGGCTTTATTGTTCACCGGGAGTCAACGGCCTACTGCCCCATTGAAGAACAGACGGCAGATTTCACCATGACGGATAGAAGCACCGGAGCCGTCTATATTTGCGACGTCACCGTCACTGATCCTATCAGCACCAGGGACCCAGAGGCTCAGAAAGGCAGGGGGTGGGCGGCCCGGGAGCAGGCCGACAAGAAGATTAAGCACTATGCCAACCGCCCGGAGACGGTTGGCTTCTTCCCCCTGGCAGTAGACACCTATGGCTGCCCATGCGCGGAGGTTCCGGTCTTCCTTAAGCTTCTTGCAGACACAGCGGCTCGGCGGCACTTCAACGCCGACTCAAAATCTTTCTATGCCGCCAAGTTCTTGCACCAATTCCGGCAGCGTTGGTCGGTGGCTCTGCAAAGGGCCCAATCCGTGGGACTTCTCATGAAGTTGGGCGAGGCGGCAGCGGCGGAAAACCCCCCGGTGGGGGGGGATTGGGCATGAGCTGCACCTGGGGGATTGTTTTGCCGTGGTGGAGCCTCTCTTGGAGCTGTAGAGAGGGGCGGTAGGGTGATAGCTTTAGTGCTGGTGGTTTGAGTTGTCAGTTGCTTACTCTATACTTTGCATGTGTGTATCTTCTTGATCTATCAATACACGGGCCATTAGAGAGAGAGAGAGAGAGAGAGAGAGAGAGAGAGAGAGATGGCATAGTCTTAGTCCTTAGCCATTTCTAGGCCTCTCTTCCCTAGGATCTAGTCCTTAGCCATTTCTAGGCCTGGTTTCTTGGTATAAAGGCCCTAGATCTAGGCTAGGAGAGCTCATTATTCACTGGTGAGTTCAGTTTACTCTCCAAAACCGGCGGCTCGTTCGAGAGAGAGTGAGAGAGAGAGAGAGATGGCATAGTCTTAGTCCTTAGCCATTTCTAGGCCTCTCTTCCCTAGGATCTAGTCCTTAGCCATTTCTAGGCCTGGTTTCTTAGTATAAAGGCCCTAGATCTAGTCTAGGAGAGCTCATTATTCACTGGTGAGTTCAGTTTACTCTCCAAAACCGGCGGCTCGTTCGAGAGAGAGTGAGAGAGAGAGAGAGAGAGATGGCATAGTCTTAGTCCTTAGCCATTTCTAGGCCTCTCTTCCCTAGGATCTAGTCCATAGCCATTTCTAGGCCTGGTTTCTTAGTATAAAGGCCCTAGATCTAGGCTAGGATAGCTCATTATTCATTGGTGAGTTCAGTTTACTCTCCAAAACCGGCGGCTCGCGCCGGCCGCCTTCGGCGGCCGTCGCTCGCCAGCGCGGCCTTCGGCCGCGCGTGAGGGGTGGCAAGGGGAGAAGCAAAACAAGACATATACGGCATGGTGTACATCACGGTCCCCTAGCAACACAAGGCAACCACAACACCCCCAGGCGTGGACATTCCGCCATGGGGAAGCCCAAGGCCAGGCCCAAAACTGCAGGGGCGGCCAAGGGGAAGGCAACCGCTACTCGGCGAGTATCCAGCAAAGCCTCCCGTCCATCCAGCGCAGGACGGATGCGGCTGCTGATACAAGGCCAAGGGGTGCACCTCGGGCAGACTCGGCGAGCCGCAACACCGCGCCAGGACCGGGGCCAAGCGCAGCCCCAGGAGCACCCGGCACAAGGCCGATCAAGGGGAGGTAACGCAGCATCTCCCGCGCTGCGGACACGGCCGCCGCCCGCTCGGACGGCAACATCCCCCCGACCTCGACACCCTGGCGAGCCACGCACACGTGGAGCTGGTCCAGCACATATGACAGCAACGTCAGGCACGTCCCCACGTGCACTACGCGCTGCTCGACAAGGGGGGGCAGCGCAGCCACAGGAGCAGGAACAGGAGGGACGGGTGGATTTAACGGCAACTGGGGAGGCTAGGGTGGAGGCTGTGGGGGCTGGGGAAGAGGAAACGGATTCGGCCGCGGCTGCCGCGGCTGCCGGTCTTGGGGATGTGCCAGCGGCGGGAGCTGCCGCTGCTGTTGCGCTGGAGATGGCGGAGTCGGGGCCGGCGGCACCTGCGGCGCCTGAGATGGCGGCGGGTGTGTCTGCTGCAGTGCCAGATGCCGCCTCTGACGACGGCTCAGTCCCCCTCCCCTCCGCCGCGCCCCAGATCCAGTCGACTCCAGCAGGGCGGGGTCCAGCTGCGGTTGCGGCTCGGACAACATCGGCGGCGGCGCTGCAACCGTCTCCTCCAGAGCAGGCCGACTCACCGGCGCCGGTCGGCTCGGCGGAAGTGGCTGCGGTGGTGGCTGCGGCGGTGGGGCGGCGGGAAGCGGATTTGAACGGGGATGCCGAGGGCGCTGGTGGCTTGTCCTCCGAAACGCCTGCTGCTGCCGCGGACGTAGACACGCCGGAGCGCGCCCAACAGGTGGATGATAGATCGGGGTGCGCGGTCGGCGGCGGGTATTCGCCTTCCCGCGCGAGGGCGTCGTGGAGGTTCCCTCGAGCCCAGCCAGCACCGAGGCGGCTTGGAGCAGGGCTGGGACCTGGCGCCCCGGGACCCCTCCTGGGCTGGCTTCTGCAAGGGCAGACGCCACGAGGGCAAGAGCATCCGCCGCCATCCCGAGGAAGATCGCCGGGAAGTGACGCCGCCGCAGGAGCAGCACGGCAAGCAGCAACACCACGGATGCCAGTGGCGGGGTTGACGGCGGCAGATGCAGGAACAGATGCGCCGGCGGGAACGACGGCTGCGCCAACAGCAGGAGCGGCAGTGGCGAATGAGACGGGGGCGACGCCAGCCGGCGCCAGACGTTCAGCGCGGCTCGGGACGATAACGTGGGGACCCCCGCGAGGCGGGCGAACCCCGTGGATGCCGGCGGGCCGGGGAGGACACGCGGGGACGAGGACGGCAGGCGTTGCAGGGCGTGGTAACCGGGGGAGTCTGCGCGGGGGGCTACGGGGAGGAAGGGGAGGGCGCAACGTGGCGCCCAGATCCGAGATCCCCGTAAGGACCGGTCCCTGGCGGGAACGTCACGCCAGGCCTGAGAGAGAGCAGCCGCAGACGAATGGGGAACAAGGGGTCTCTGACGACCCTGATGGTGACCTTGAGTTTATGGCTGGGGAAGAGGAGGTATCGGAGGAGATTTCCCTCGACGACGAGGAAGCCCCACGCAGGCGGAGCAATCCACGACCACAATCAGGGGAGGCGGCGGAGCGGATCCCTGGCACGACTGAGGAGCAAGGAGGTGAGGCCACGGGGACTCGGATGTGCCGTCACCGGCTGACCTGGCTGGCGACGATGCCATCTGGATCATGGCGGGGGAGAGGAATGTGGACATTCTCCAGCGAGGTGACTAGCCTTTCCTCGTCCGACGACTGCCACCGCAACTGCTTGACAGATATTGCCTCTGCTTGTTGGCAGCCTTTATCCGCCTGGAGAAACATCCCGACTGCCGAGGAGGTTGGACGGTGCTGCTCTTTCTCCCAAGGCTCACCCTGAGGCCCCCACCCGAGCCTGCTGTTGGAAGCCGCTGGGCTGAGATAGAGGCTCGGCTCCACAAATTCCAACGGGGCGAGTGGGCTGACCTTTTCGATGAAGCAGGGGTCATCCCCGCCAGAGGAGCCCCGGTTCGCCACCAAGCTGACGAGGAAGGGATTTGCGCTAGGGCGGAGGGGTTAGTAAGGAAAGGAAACATCTCAAAGGCAGTATCGGCGTTACGGACCAGCCCCCTTGCTGAGGCAACACCAGCTACACTCGAGGCGCTGCAAACGAAGCATCTTGCAGCGGCAAACCGTATTCCATCGTGGGTTACCGGAATCACCCATTCCGAATTGGCTGTCCCGCTGGAAACGCTCCGCGAAATATTGGCAAAGTGCCCGAACGGGATTGGTGCGGGCCCCTCAAGCACGTGCTTTGAACACCTGCGAGACCCGGCCCTGGCAAACGAAGAACTGTTGCTGCTCTTCGCCAAGGTAGTCAATCGACTGCTGAGTTCTTTCCAATCCAACCAAGTGCGGGAGCTGCTGCTGCCCTCACGACTCATTGCACTAGAGAAGCCGAACGGCGGGGTAAGGCCTATAGCCATTGGGGAGGCCATACTCCGCGTCGTGGCGAAGGCGGCGTTGCACACACTAGGGCCTAAGATTAGGGACTTCTTCCTCCCGGTGCAGTTTGGCGTGGCAGTCCCAGGGGGAGCAGAGTGTATTATCCACGCCGTTAGGGCTTTACTCCGGGAAGACGAGTCACGTATCGCACTACAGCTAGATATCGAAAACGCGTTCAACAGCGTTGAACGAAGCGCGTTCCTCGGATCCCTCCAGTGGTCCCACCTCAGTCCCCTACTCCCCCTCGTGCGCAATCTCTACGACGGCCCCTCGCGCCTGCTCACAGACGCACGTCTCGGCGTCGATCACATCCAGAGCTCTCGGGGGGTCAGACAGGGAGATCCCTTGGGCCCCCTCTTGTTCGCGGCAGCAATTCAGCCAACTCTTCTGAGCATTTCTACCACTATGCCTGAAGTCGCAGTGGTCGCCTATGCGGACGACATCACCATTGTGGGCCCAAAGGAAGCGGCGTGCCGTGCCTTCACGAAGATCGCGGGCGACTTAGCCGGCTGTGGTCTTCGATGCAACATCGCGAAGTCCTCGGCCTGGTGCGCCATCCAAGGAGCGGACAGGGAGGGGCTCCCGCTGGGCCTAACCGCGGACCCAGGCGGCATACGAGTCCTAGGCAGTCCCATCGGCCGGTCGGACTTCTGCACCGACCAAGTGAGGGCACTTCTGGAGGAGGCGGCGGCGCCGCTCCACCTCATCAGCCAGCTCCACCCCCAGTCGGCCTTGCTGATCCTCTCCCGCAGTATCTCCCGCCGCATCTCCTACCTGCTACGGACGACACCAGCAACGGCACTGTACCTAGAGGAGTGGAGAGGGTGGAGCGAGGCGCTGGTAGGGGCCGCTCTGGCGGCGGCGAAGCTGAACGTCCCGGCATCAGAGCTCGAGCAGAGTCTACTTTGGCGCCAGGCTACCCTCCCTATCCGGCTGGGCGGGCTGGGGATTATTGACCCCATATCGGAAGCGCCAGCGGCACACATAGCTTCGGTGACGGCTGCACACTCGCTCCTGCAGCAACTCGGCCTTCCCCCCGATTGCCTCCTTCACAGGGCCACCACGCTGCTGGCCCACGACTGGTCCCCTCCCCCCCCCGACTTCAATCCATTGTCTGCTCTGGAGGAATGCCTCCCGGCCCAAGCTCGGGCGGTCCTGAGTCAGTACAGGGCGGACAGTACGGGCACGGGCAGCTTGCAGCTGGGACTGTCGAAGCAGATCAACCTGCAGCGTGCAGCAGACCTTCTGGGCGACACCGTCGTTGACAGACCAGGCAGGAACAGGGGCCACGCGATCAGGCTGATAAGCCTTAGGGGGGTGGGAGCGGGCGACTGGCTTCATGCAGTCCCAACGAGAGCTGACCTTACTATCTCCCCTGGTCAGTTCTCCTTTGTTCTGGGGCTCCGCCTAGGCATGGAACTGCCAGTGGCCGAGGTTTGTCCGTGCAGACGGCAAGGCTCGAGCATCTTAGATAAGAGCTTGCCGAACCACCTCCTACGCTGCCAAGACGGGGGGGGATGCGGTCCGGACACACAATGCCCTCGTTTACGCCGCGCTACGCATGGCGGATGAGGCTGGCTTCAAGATTTTTCACGAGACCTCTGCCTTCTCTCCCCCGGTCCATAGGAAGAGAGCGGACCTCGCGATTCGGGACCAGGAGTCGGGAGAAACTTGGGTGACTGACGTCACCGTCACGGACCCGGTGCTGCAGAACAGGGATGTGAGGGCACGTAGGCCGCCAGGATGGGCAGCGGAGGAAGCTTCACAGAAAAAACACCGGCTGTACGAGGGGGGGCCGAGCTACGCGGGGTTCTTTGGGCTCGCGGTTGAGACGTATGGGGCTATGGCTGCTGATACAGTCCAATTCCTTCCCATGCTAGCCACCCACGCTGCAAAGACAAAGTTCAGGAAAGGGCGGCTCACGACCACGGCGGCCCGACTCAATGCACATTACCGCCAGAGGTGGTCAGTAATGCTGCAGCGGAGCCAGGCCATTTCCCTCCTGTCCAAGTCCAACCGTGCAGCGGAAGCGGCTTTCCCACAGGCGGCATCTGACCCCTGGGCCCCCAGGCTTGGGGACCTGTGGCAAATGACTGAGGATGAATACGAGGAGCGGGAGGCCCCGGCGAGGGCGGCTTAGAGGGCTCAGAGGTCACAGCGGGTAGCAGGGGAAGGGTGAGAGGAGGCAAAGGGTGGGGGACTGTAAGGGGTGGCGGGAATAGGGACAAGAGGAAGAGCAGACGGCCGAGGATACGTGCGGCGGTTGACTGGCTGGCTCGGGCGCTTGGGGACTAGGAGACACACGGCACGCTTGCTTGTACGGCTGGTCCTGCGAAGCCCGCTTGTTAGCATGTTGTCTTGCTTAGCCTATTGACCCTGGTTGCCCATTTTGCTTGGATAGCTTAGTTACAACTACCTCCTGCCATTGCTGTACCCTTTGAACACTATCAATGCATGACTGCTTGAGAGAGAGAGAGAGAGAGAGAGAGAGAGAGAGAGAGAGAGAGAGAGAGAGAGAGAGAGAGAGAGAGAGAGAGAGAGCCATTTATTCCTTAGTCTATAGATACACAATCATAGTCTCTTAGTGTAGCCTAGTCTCTTGGTGGAGCACTGTTATAGGCTGGTTTTAGCCCACCCTCCTGGTATATAGAGGCAGGAAGCCCTTTCCTACCCTCATTGTTTGGTAGTGGGCTCACTCTCACTGCAAATCCGGCGGCTCGCGCCGGCCGGAGGGGACGAAGCGGCAGGAACAGACGACTGCTGCGGGGAGGATAGCTGCTGCGAGACCTGCTGCGACGGCACGAGAGGAGGCGGAAGAGGAGGAGGAGGAACGACGGGAAGAGAGGGGGCCTGCAGATGCGGACTGACAATCTGCCTCTGGAGCACGGGCGGAGGGCGAGGCGGACGGCGGCGCCGAAAAGAACCACCGCGGGCGCGCAGATGTGGGTGGGTGCGCCCGCGCGGCGAGCGATACACAGGCTCGCGCACCCGAGAGGGAGTTCCACTCCCCTCGCGCGAGACCAGGGCAACGACGGCTCGGAGTAGGGCTGGCGCCAGCTCGCCCTGGTCCTCTGGCGGGTTGGGAGCAGCAAACGGTCGCGACGCGTTCTCCCGCCTTAGGCGCTTGCCCGTCATCACCGCAGCGGCAGGCCGAACGGGAGGAGCCGGGGGCGGAGCAACAGGCAGTAGAACAAGCCGACGAGGCAGCACAGCAGGAGGAAGCGTTGTTGGCGGCACAGGCCGCTGACCGGAGACGGCGAGCATGAACGAGCCGCCAGAGGGCCCTCCAGGAAAGGGCGGACGAGATAGCGGCGGGAAATCACCCGCGAATCACGGCGGCAAGGGCGGCCGGGGAGGCCGCGGACGAGGGCGAGGCAGAGGCGGCCGTGTGGGAGAGTTGGTGAGGCCGTAGCGAGAGAGAAAGCCATATCCGGAAATTGGCGGGAAAGACACGGGAGGTTTGACAAAAGCAAGGTGGAACCAATGAATGAGCCTGCGGGGGAAGAGGGGTCTGAATATAGAGAGGAAACAGAAGATGAGTCGGAGGACATCTCGGTGGACGATGAAGAGGGAATCCCCGCAAATGGGGAGGGAGGGAGACGACGTGGAGGCAGACAGGGGCGGCAGGATAGAAGGGAACCCGCACAAGGGGGGGAACCAGAGGCCCCGAGAGCCGACGAGGCTGCCAGCAAGGAAAGGGCGCCCCTGAAGAAAGTAGAGGATGAGGACGCGTGGCACAAGGTGCTGGATTGGGATCTCGGACCATTGCATGCCAGCACAGAGCCATTCCTCGTCAGGAAATTGCCACCAAATATTTTGAAAGTGTACAGACACTGCCTGACTGTACCTCTCCTGCGATTCTCGAAGCACCCAGACTGCCTCGGTGCGTGGCGAATTCTGCAATATCTCCCCAAGCTCACATTACGAGCAGGCTTGGACACAGCCCCGGGAAACAGATGGGAGGCAGTTGAAGCCCGCCTTGGACAATTCCGAGAAGAGGACTGGGATGCACTCTACACCCAAGCCAGCACTTTCCCTCCAAATTCGAAGCCCGACCGGCACGAACCTCACCCCGAGGGAATCTGTGCCAGAGCTGAAGGGCTGGTACGGAAAGCCAACTTGGCGAAGGCAACAGCAGCGTTACACAGTTCGCCTCTGGCGGAGCCCTCGCAACAGACATTGGGAGCTCTCACCTCGAAACACCCGGCCCAGGAATTGGCGATACCGGAAGGTACCACGGGTTACGTGACATCCGAGCTCGCAATCAGTGCAGAGTCCTTTCGTGAAGTATTGGCGAAGTTCCCAAATGGGGTGGGAGCAGGGCCATCAGGGACCTGCTTCGAACACTTGCGAGACCCTGCCCTAACCAATTGGGAGGTCTTCGCACTACTCCAC